TATATACTACATGCATCTTGTATTTATTTCACCTTTCCCTAAATTGGAAACAACTGTAAAATGTTGTGGTACATATACATTGTATACCCTGTATATTATACAGGGTGTTTACAGTCTTGTGATTTTTTTTAAAGGTAATAGTTCATCAAAAAATAATGGTATGTCATCTAATAACACAAGAATATTCTTATGAAATTTGGTAAGCATTATTTATGGATTGATTGTACAGCTACTACAAGTTTTGTTATAAGAGATATAAAGAAAATTCGAAAGGTTGTTTTAAATAGAATTTACTTACAAAAAATGGTTTTGGAAATTGCATATTACAGAGGCGTACTGAAATTTTTCTTTAAATTATAAACCACATATCCCGAATCTATGTAACTTATTTAGATTATTCAAATTTCATTTGAATATTCTAATGCGCTAAAGAGATATTACAAAAAAAATCTAAATTTTTGGAAACTTCAATGGCCTGTATTTGAGAAAGGAACCAAATTTGATCATCCACTATTCTACAAATACCGTTATTGCTGACAACACCACTTAAAAATAAAATCGCAAGACTGTAAACACAGTCTATACATTGTAATATTTTCTTCTAAAAATATGACTATTTACCTCATATCTGTTCTGTACAAGCGTAAACGAAGTATATTATACCAATCATTATTATATTGGAAATTTTTTTAAGTTTTTTTACAAACTAAAATAATGATTAAATGTAGCAGGTGTTATTATTTACAGTTTTCTAAATAAAAATTATTATTAAAATATTAAATTAGTATTTATAATTAATTCTGTAAAAAATATAGATATAGATTGTGTTACCAAAGTATGTATAGGAATAAAAAAAACAAAAGTTTAATACAATAAGGACCGATTGTTCGAACGCTAATTAAAACTCAAATATTTAATTAAAATCAAATAGGAAACATTTTGAGGTTATGTTGACTGATTTATTCAACTGTATGATTTTGCTTTTTAATTTAAAATAAACCATAATTAAACTCTTTCTGATGTTAATTTCATGTTTTTATTTACAAATCAATAATAATAATAAGCAATTTTGACAACAGCTTTGATGTATTTGCAAATTCAAGTTTTGATTAGCGTTCGAACTACCGGTCCTAATTGATACCATATATTTCAAACTTCCCGCCATTCGTTAACTCCATGTACATATAAACAGTAGTGGGGGGTGCTAGGAGCGATTAATTACAGGGATCCGATCCGTCAACTGCGCATGTGCAATCTTTGAAATGACATCAAAAGTGACAACGAGGGACAATCGACAATCTCCAACCTAAAAAAATCTGAGCAAGTTTATAAAAAAGATTAGGAATAAAAATAGGAAATTTTACAATATTTCTTTCTACAGGTACATAGTTGTTACATTCATAACTAAAATATAGAGAATAAATAACTTGTACTCTGAGTAATAAGAAAGAAAATCACATTAACCTAATGTATATTGACGACTTTTATATTAACCTTCCAAGATTGTTTATTTTGTTGTAATAGCTTACGGAAATTGTTAACTTTGCACCAGATAGTTTAAAATATTTAACGTAATACATGTTTGTGAGTGAAGATAAGGATTATAATAAATTATTATATAAGTATTATTATAATCTTAAATTTATTTATTGTTGTTGAAAGTAAACAAAGTATTAATGAACTAAATTTAAATGACATATTACGGTTAATGGGTTAATCTTGTATGGATTGGCAAAATCGTTGTCTTCAGGTGGATGTTTTCAAAAGTTGTCTCGTTCTAAAACGTGTTTAAAATAGTTTAATTCTTCAATACTCTTCCATAAAAAACTGAAGTAATGGCAGACATAAAACAGAGTGTTTGTATTTTTCCAACAACTTATATATAATTTCTGTAAAATAAACTTCATTAATGTGGAAGTCCTTTCGGCTTGAAAAAAAAGCTACTGGAAATCTTCCAGACACTTATTTAAATGCACATTTTCTCCACATTGCATCGGCGTAGAAGCTTAGACTGATTTGAGAAAATTTTACCACATTCAAAACAGTTCACTGATATATTTACTAATTATGTAAATAGGGAACTATTCAAAACAATTTTTATTTGACAATGCAAGCAAGGTACCCCTTAAAATTTTCATTTGAAGTTGAAGGTTCGAAATATTTCGAATGCAGTCGTTTCACACATGCGCAGTTGACGGATCGGGTCCCTGTAATTAATCGCTCCTGGGGGTGCTCAGTCGGGAAATTAAGCTCTCGTGACCTACTACTCTCACTCTTATGTGCAGACTTGCGCAATTCATTTGTATCCATTTCCGAATGTGTCAATATGAGATTTTATGTCATAATTTATGTGTATTTGTATTGTTGGTTGCGAACATTTTTTTTTATAAATTTTGCAAGTTGCTGTCCAAGAAATTGAAAGATGTAGAGTGAAGTGAGGGGGTGGGGTAAAAATTGAAGATCAAGATCACAGATTATAATCTACTATTATATTATTTATCTATGGATTATAATCAAGATAATGATCAATATATAATTTATGTAATTTGCTGTTAACTGGTCATGTTGAAAGTGAAAGAATGAAACAGTGAAAGACTGAAAGGTCCTCTAAATTCTTTTTCTTTAGTTGTTCAGAGGCAGGTCGCAGCATATTTTGGATGATATCCTAATCAAGTATAATCACAATATCGCAAATCAAATCAAATGGAAGTAAAACAAGAAAATAGGGAGGAAGCCTGTAAAGTAGAATTAGAGTATGATGCCTTTGATAATGAAATATTGGATGGCTTTAAAGGTGAAATTCAGGAAGAATCAAATAGACACAGTAAACATGATACATATGTTTATTTAGACTTAAAGGAACATCCTAAAATAGAACAACAGGGGAATAAACCTAACTCATTTGAAGAAAACCCAAAAACTGAAAAAGGTTTGTAACAATATATTTAAGTTTCTCCCTTATTTAGAAATAGTATAATTAGGAAGAACTTTTACCAGCTAATTTTGTTTTTAAATACAATTTAAGAGAGAGAAAGAGAGGCTGTAGGGTACATGCATTTTACACTAATTTCTCCAAGGCCTTATATGTGGTCAACCATAATATTTTAATAGTTAAACTGAAATAAATGGGTGTTGATGAGCCACTTTTTAGATGGCTGAGAACATACTTGATTGACTGAGTTCAGATGGTGCATATCAGGGATTTTGTTTCCAGTGAGATTAATGCTTAATCAGGAGTAACCTAGGGATCTCATTTGGGATCCTTGTTATTTAACATATTCATCAATGATGTAAACCACTGCTTCTAGCACAGTTCACCTTTTTTTTGTGGATGATCTAAATACTGAAGATTGTGTTAATCTTCAACATGATCTCAATCATTTGAGTGAGTGTTGTGTGTTGGCCAATGCCATGGCTCTGAACGCATCCAGTTGTTTCTTTTGGATGATCGAGAGACCCAATGGAATATAATTATAAAATACAGAACATTCTTGTTGACTGGGTTACCTAAATTCGTGATCTGGGAATTAATTTAGACTATAAACTTTTATTTGAATCGCATTATATGTCAATAATTTCTAAATCTTTACAAATGCTTGGCTTTATAAAAAGATTCACTAGAGACTGAGTATACTGAAGCGATTCAATTACTATATTGTTCTTTGGTCAAACCTCATCTAGAGTATTGTTCTTGTGTATAGTCTCTATCTTATAATCTTTACATATCAAAAATTGAGACAGTTTAATACAAGTTCTTGAAATCTGTAGCATATAAACAGGGTATAGTTTTTGAACTAAATCAAGTAAATTATGATCAAATTGAAACCCACCTAGGTATTATCTCATTGTATGATCTACGATTAATTAAAGATACAAAGGTGCTACAACTAAGTATGCATATAATAATTTTTTATCTCGAGCACTAAGGTGGGCACATATTCACCCAGATCTAGATTTTTTTGCACTGAAGGCTGCCGACGATTAATTAAAGATACAAAGATGCTTTATGGCATAATTAATTCTAGTCTTGTGTCCTTAGCTACTTGAGCAGGTTGGTTTACATGTATCTCTCCGTAGAACACAATTAAACCAAACTTTTTATCTTCCTCTTTACAGAACAAACTATGCATATAATAATGTTTTATCTCGAGCACTAAGATAGGCAAATATTTACCCAGATCTAGATTATTTTGCAACGAAGGCTGAATTTATTTTTGGTCTCAGGCACGTGTTTATTTGAGTGGTTGTGGAATAGGTAATCATCATTTTGATGTGTAAACGTGATTAAGTTTGTGATATTTATACGTTATTTTGTTTTATTGTATACATTGTAAACATTGTTAATCTTATTGGGCAGCAGTCAGTTGAAAATAAATAAATAAATAAATATTCACAAAACGTAATTAATCTTTTTTATACAACCCATAAAACCTACTAATGTCATAAGGCTCATCAAAATGTAATAATTAGTGACAACTAAATAATGGGACAGTATGAAGTAACTGCTAAACACCAAACAAGATAAGCAGGCTGCGAAAACAATCTAGCCGAACACTAACAAGCTTTAAACTATATTCTATATTTAATTTCTTGTCAAATTGAGTGAATCGCTGTATTATTTCAACAAAATGGTATCTGCACAAATTCAAAAATTCGTGAGTTGGTGATTAAAAATTATTTCTGCAATAAAACAATCCGTGAAGTGGCAGACGAACTTTAATATTCCTAAAACTACAGTGTGGAATATAATTAAGCGTTTTGGAGAAACATGAGGTATCTTGAATAAAAAATTAAAAGCTGTGGTCGTCCAAAACTTAGTTTCTGATCGGAATAGGAGAATATTAGTAAAAGTTTGCAAAAAAGGTCAAAGAAATACTCAAGGCAACTTATAACTGGGTGGAATCATGAAACTGGATTAAATACGTCAAGGAAAGCTGTCACAAGTGGATACATAAATCTGGAGTAAAGTTTTATAAGGTTAAATTACAATGTCAAAGTGCAAAGAAAGAAAATGTATCATCAACACAATTTATTCTAGTTTTAGACGTGTAATTTTATAAATTTATTCTCAAATATTATTAATTAAAGTAACATTAAAATGGAAGGAATATTACTGGAACCAACATTGTATACCATACAAGGTATCGCTATATTGGACTATGATGGCAATAGAGTGTTGCCTAAATACTATGATAAAGATATATTTCCTACTGCAAAGGAGCAGAAAGCTTTTGAGAAAAATTTATTTAATAAAACCCACAGGGCAGATGCCGAAATTATCATGTTGGATGGTTTAACTTGTGTGTATAGAAGTAATGTAGATTTATTCTTTTATGTTATGGGCAGTTCACATGAAAATGAGCTAATTCTAATGAGTGTTTTGAACTGCTTGTATGACTCAGTAAGTCAAATATTGAAGAAAAATATGCAAAAAAGAGCTGTTTTGGAATCACTAGATATTGTTATGCTGGCTATGGATGAAATTGTTGATGGAGGGATAATTATAGATTCTGATTCAAGTTCAGTAGTATCTATAATAGCACTAAGAACTGATGATATTCCATTAGGGGAACAAACTGTAGCTCAGGTATTCCAAATAGCCAAGGAACAGCTGAAATGGTCATTGTTGAAACAAAGTGTATTTTACAAGGTGATCGGTATTTATTTCATGTACAAGTTAAATTACAGGTAACAATTTAAAAGTGTGCTGAGTTAAATAAATTATATTTTCTTATAGGCAAAGGAAAGCCACTGTTAAGCAAGCCAGGCACATGTGGGCAAAATCTAAACTTTTTTGGTCGGTATGATGATTGGTCCCAAGTACCTAATTTTTAATGACGAATCAAAATTAGATGTATGTGTTGGTGATCAGCGCAAACAAGTTATTGGGACTATGTATTAAGTTTTTCACAGGGTTATAGGATTTTATGAATTTATTGAGGGTACCATAAATTCTGCGAAATATTAACAAATACTTCGAAACAGCCTACTATCAAGCATTGTGAAATTAAATGTTGCTGAGAATTATATTTTTCAGCAGGACAGCAGCCTATGATACAACAAAAACCACAAAAAAATTGTTTAGAATCCATGATGTAAATGCCCTTTCTTGGCCTTCTAACAGTCCTCAGCTAAACGTCATTGAAGCAGAATTATATAAAATAAAAGAGACACTAAGGAACAACCCACAATAGACATTTGGAATGCATTTATGCCTGAACAGTGCAGTTCTTTGGTCGATTAGAGCGGTCATAAAGTCTAAGGGCAATGCTACTCCATTTTAAAAATAAATATTCGTTCTATGTCCCAATATTTAGTTGTCGACAAAATAAACATTTTTTATTATTAATTAGTTGTGTTAGAGTAATTATATTTTGTTTTGTGAAACTGATTGAACTTACGTTATTAGCAATTAACTAATTACATAGTATTACATTAAAAAACATTATTAGGAAAAAAGAAACTGTCAAATATCTGAATTATGTCTTTAGTTTAGTTTGTCCCATTATATAGTTGTCAGGGCTCATATTATGAGAATGTTTGTGGGTTGCTAACTAATCTTAATGGACTTAATAATGGGATTTCTTGTTCTGTTAAAGATATATTATATTTAGTTGTTCTTACTGAAAGCTGGCTCACAAATGTGCTCCAATGGACATAGTTCATTACATGCCCTGCCTGGTCGTCCTGCTTGAATGAGCACCAGCTGATGTTCCAGCAGAGTACCTTCATCGGTTTGACCCTTGTTGTTGTTTGCTGTTTATAAATAACTATTATTGATTTTTTGTGTTGATATGCTTATATTGAATGCATTGAGGTACATACTAAAAGAAAGACAATGGGATGACAATTACACATTAGAAGACAGAAACACAACCTTCTAAAACATCTCTCTCTTCAATCCTGACCCCCCAGGGGGAGTGTAGTGGTCGACGTGATGTCGTGTATTGTCCTTCTCCAGAGATCTCTGTCTCTGGTCATTTCTTTTAATTCATGCATAGGTCTTTGGCATATTCCTGTAATTTGATCTATCCTTCTTGTTGGGATCTTCCTCGTGATCTTCGGTCTTCTACCTTTCCTTGTATTATGAGTCTTTCCATGTTTTCTGTGTTTGCTCTCATAACATGCCCAAAATATTTTAATTGTTGGAGATGGACTTTACTAGAGAGTCGTTGGCTAACTTTTAGCTCTCTTAAAATTGAATTATTTGTTCTACGGTCGATCCAAGGAATTCGTAACATTCGTCTCCAACAGAACATTTCAGTGGCGTCTATCTTTCTTCTCTCCGATTGTCTGAGTCCAAGATTCACATCCGTAGGTCAGTATTGGGAATATTAAGCAGTTGATCAACCTCATCTTTATCGCTCTTGAAATTTGACATTCCTTCCATATTTTGGTCATTTTTGCTGTGGCAACTTTTGCTAGATCACATCTACGTTTAATCTCTTCTTGTAATGACCCTGTGTTTGTGATTAATGATCCCAGATATAAGTATGAGCTCACAATCTCGAACCGGTCAATTGTGGTTATGTGTGGATGATTGTTGTTTAGTCTATCTACTATCATGATCTTTGTCTTTGATATCAGCTTCCATCAGCTCTGCTTGACTATTTGCAAGAAGGGCTGTGTCATCTGCGAAACGTAGGTTGTTAAATTTATGACCATTTATTGAGATGCCCTTTTCCCATCCTTCAAGTGCTCTTCGCATAATATACTCTCCATATATGTTGAATAATTGTGGAGATAGTATACATCCTTGTCTGACACCCCGTTCTGGATGAAACTCGTTCGAAAGTGTGTCAAGTACTTTAACTGATCCAGTAGTGTGTTCATATAGTTCAGTTATAAGCGTAATTAGATGTTGTGGTACGCCTACTTCTTTTAGTATTCGCCATAAGTGTCTCCACTTGACCCTGTCGAACGCTTTACGGTAATCTATAAAACAAATGTATAGTGGGATGTTGAATTCCCTAGATTTCTCGATTATCTGCCTTATATTCAGCAGGTATTCTCGAGTGCCTCTACCTTTGGTAAATCCAGTTTGCTCTTGTGGAATTTCTCTGTGAAGTAATGTTTTCAGTCTCTCATTGATTATATGTAGCATTATCTTGCTGGCATGGGATATAAGAGAGATAGTTCTATAATTGTCGCATTTATGGAAGCTGCCTTTTTTATGTATGGTCGTTATTGTAGATTTTGTCGAGTCTTCAGGCCATTGTTTGGAATGCCATATTTGGTTACAGAGTAGATGAAGTAACTTTACGCCGGTTTCTTCTGTGGCTTTAAGCATTTCTGCTGTTATCATATCTGGACCTGGTGCTGGTTCTAAAACATATTTGTATCATTAACTACACTTGTGTAATCTTAAGTTTTTTCTTTCTTTTTACATTAATTTTACCTTATACTCAAATATTTATATTAAAGTCAGTTTGTATTTTAGGTTATCTAAAAGAGGAAAACAAAATGAAAATTATCGAGGCACTCAGTGAATATTCGTCTTATGAAACATATTGTATGAGTCCACATGCTGAAGACATACCATTAAATCAAACTATAAAAGTTGCGATTGGAGAAAAACCTTACACGTGTGAATTTTGCATTAAACAGTTTAGCCACGCACATTCTTTGAAAAAACATTTGAGATTGCACACTGGAGAAAAACCTCACAAGTGTGAAATTTGTTTTAAGCAATTTAGTGAAGCAAGTTCTTTGAAAACACATTTGAGAGTGCACACTGGGGAAACACCTTACAAGTGTGAAATTTGTTTTAAACAGTTTAGCCAAACAGGTTCTTTGAAAAAACATTTAAGAGTACACACTGGAGAAAAACCTTACAAGTGTGAAATTTGTTTTAAGCAATTTATTCAAGCAAGTGCTTTGAAGATACATGTGAGAGTTCACACTGGGGATACACCTTATAAGTGTGAAATTTGTTTAAAGAAATTTATTCAAGCAAGTAATTTGAAGAAACATTTGAGATTGCACACTGGAGAAAAACCTTACAAGTGTGAAATTTGTTTTAAGCAATTCAATGAGGGAAGTCATTTGAAAGAACATTTGAGAGTGCACACTGGAGAAAAACCTTACAAGTGTGAAATTTGTTTTAAGCGATTCAGTAAAGCAAATCATTTGACAGAACATTTGAGAGTGCACACTGGAGAAAAACCTTACAAGTGTGAAATTTGTTTTAAACTGTTTAGCCAAGCAGGTAATTTGAAACATCATTTGAGGTTGTTGCACACTGGATAAAAACATGCCAGCACTGACATGAGTCAAAGCAAAAACGAGTCAGCATGAGTCCAAGTAACATGTAAAATATTGGTGATTTTGAGTAACATATCAATGTCCAATATTTATTTGATGTACTCAAATATTTCATAGATATTTCAGACTCTGTATCTTCCATCTCTCTCATACGAAGTACGGTGATTTTTCTAATACGTTTGAAACATTGAAGCATTATAATTTAACTTGATTACCGGTAAATGTGATATTGAACTCATAAATCTCTCATAAATCGCGTCGGAGTGAAATGTGATAACTGACTATGAATACTATACAAATATGAAATTTTGTTTTAAGGGTGATTATCACGAAGTGTTATTTATTTAGTATACAGAAGTTTTCAAAATAAAAATATTTTTTTAAATTGTTTTGTTAGTAAATTTACATTTAGATTGGAAACACTAATAAAACTAGGTATCAGGTCAAACACTTAGACCAATATTTTTATAAAAAAAATAGGTTTAAAAAAAATTGCATTTCACGGAGTTGAGAATACAATAACGGAGGTGATATATGTATATTATTCAGCATTATTTCTGTCTTAATATACAAAAATACTCGCCCTAAATGTTTAGTCATTGTACTAAAAACACAGTAATAATAATAATAATAATTACTTGTCTTCCAACTTTGTACAAATTGGTCACATCCTGTGTGGCCCGGCGTATCTATCAACACTGTGCTCTGAACAATATCATAGAGCCCCAACAGAAAAGATGCGCTAAGGGCTCCATGGGATGCAAAGAACAACTTATTATCGACTCAGTCATTTCTAACCAGGCATACACCAAAAAAAGAAACCTTTTTACTGCCTTCATTGACTACAAGAAGGCTTTTGATTCAGTGCCGCATGAATGGCTTATAGATATATTGAAAATATATAAAGTCGATGATAATCTCGTGACCCTTTTGAAGCATATAATGGCAGAGTGGAAGACCAAAATTCACCTTCAAATACCTGGTGAAATTAATATCGAAACTGAAGATATCCCTATTAACCGGGGCCTTTTCCAGGGGGACTCGTTGAGTCCACTTTGGTTCTGCCTAGCGATGAACCCACTATTTCAGTTGCTGAACTCTACTGACTCAGGATTTAGCATCAAAAATAACAACACCGTTGTAGCGAAGCTTAATCATCTGTTGTATATGGATGATTTAAAATTAATGGCTTCCACTCGAAACCACCTAGATGAGATGCTAAAAACTGTAGAAAATTTCTCAAATGATATCAGTATGCATTTTGGACTAGACAAGTGCCGTATACTAAATATAGTCAGAGGAAAGGTTCAGCCTGGAGGTTTCGATATGCAAGATGGCCAAAACATCGAGGCAATGGGCGAAAATGATATGTACAAATATCTCAGAGTAAAACAAGCGCGGAAAATTGACCATAAACAAATGAAAACGGAACTAACTTCGGAGTTCGTGCGAAGAGTAAGACAACTAAATCGGTCATATCTTAATAGTAAAAATTTGTTTAAGGCATTAAATACGTACGCCTGTTCCGTGCTGAACTACTCAG